TAATTATTTAAAATATAATAAAAATATATATAAAATAATATAATAAAATATAAAAAAATATAATTATATGATAATTTTAAAAATAAGAAAAATATTCCAGATAAATATTTGCATGTATTATAAAATTAATATATTTTAATTTTTTGAAAAAATAAAAAAATAAAAATAAAAGCTAAATAATATAAAACATTATTTATAAAATTTCATGCTAAATGAAGGATAGATCAGAAAGATTATTAAAAAGCAAGAGGAAATATATCCATTTATAAATGAGAAAACAATTTTATTTTTTTATATCATACATAAATTATGTATAATATTTATATTTTAATATGCATATATAAAAATATTCTATAGTTAGTGAGAATATGATTATAAATTTGAAAAAATAATTGTTAATAATGCATTATATAAAAAATATTTTTTTATAATATGTAATATATATAGATATTAAGATCTATATATACATATATAGATTCTTTTAATATATACATGTACAAAAATGCATAAAAATTATTTTTATATTATAATTCAAAATGCCATGCTAATATAAAAGTGAGCATATCAGTATAAATATACACACATAATCAAATAATTCATAAAAAAATTGAAAGATTGCTCATTCAAATAAGACCATTCAATGACTTACTTGTGTCATATAGACTCCCTTCTGCTGCTCGTTAACCAACACATAATTTAACAAAAAAATAATCTTATTATACATATAACATAAAATAAAGCAGAATAACATAATGATAATAACATCAAAGATAACATGCACAATTACTACATTAAAATCATATGTAAACATAATATGACACATATTATAACATAAAAATTGAATATATATATATATATTTAGTTTCATTAATAATAATTCTTTAAAATAAATTCCTTTTATTAATTATATGCTAATCAATTATATATTAAATATATTATTATATATATTAAATTTTGATTTATATTAAAAAAGACATTAATATACATTTATTATTTATATTAATATACATTAACATAAAGTTAGTAAATATAATATAAAAAATAATATAAATATTTTAATATAACATAGAATTATATTTATAATTAATAAAATATAATTATAATTAAAAATATTTATATCAAAATTTTTGTTAAAACATACTTAATCGTCCATCTGTAATCACTTGAATGCAATCTGTTTTATATGTTGTCATAGGACATTGCCATAATGCACCAGATTTATTAGTTTTAGGTTGTCTATTTTCATCTAAAGGAGCTCCAATTAACATCCTGTAACATATAATTTTTTAGATTTTTAATATAATTTTTTAATAATATAATAAAATATATTATAATATATATCAAAATAATCCTGACATAAGATATATATATATATATTATAAATCTTTTAAAATGTATTTTTATATTTATGTAACTTATGATATTATTATATCACACAGTGATAATGAATAAATTAAAATTAAAATAAGTAACAATTGTATCATAAATGAAATATTAATATTATAATACTATTCATATATAATATATGTATTGTTATTATATTTTTTAATTGTTAGTTTTAATTGTAATAAAAAGAAATTATAAATATTAATATATACCAGCTTTTCGGTTTTTCTATACCATCGTGAGAAATTTCTTGATGTTCGGCTACAGAATAACCGAAATAAGAACCATTTAATCCTTTTTTAATAACAGGTATTCTTGGTTCTAAATTAAAGCTATATATTAAACATACGTCTAAAACGATTAAAATCAGTTGATAACATCTCATGTTTAATTAACTTTAAGTGCTTTTGTATATATAATTTGATAAATATAAAAAATTACAAATGACTTTTTAAAATTCATATAAATTTCTATTGTTAAAAATTATTTTTATATACTTTTCTTAATTTTACAATTAGAATAATCTACACTCTATAAACACACATGGAATCCACCCACATAATCTATATACTTTATGTTTTTCTATGGCGACTAAAATATATTGTAATTTTATAAAGATAATATGAATTTATTAACGAGTTATATCGTATATATGTTCATGATAAAACAAAAATATTATATTAAAACAAGAAACAAGAATAACGGATATATTCATAATATAAAAATTTTCATATATCTAAATATAAAATCAGAATAATATAATAGTATAAAATGATAATATAATATATATAGGATATATAAAA